AATTTCATAGCGATCTGTTGTTTTGTACTAGTTGACAAAAAATTGTTGAATGAGAGCAGCCCACCTTTCGTGTCCATTAGATGTTGAAAATCTTGTTCAACGAGTCCTTGACCACGATAAACAATGAATTTTTTCGTAAAAGTCTTTGCTTGTTCTTTGTGCAGTTGTTCCAGCTGTTTATGAAGGTTTCGGATGAAAAAGCCCATTTTTGTCATGGCTTCCATGTCGAGTGATCGTAGAGCGTAATTAAGCATGCCATAGAGAAACATTTCGCATGTATACCACCAGACTGGCGTTTCCTGGTGGTATTTACTCTGAAAGTCTTTTAATTGTTTCTCCGAAATACCTTTGCTGCGACAGTAGACGACTAGATCGTTCAACGGCTTCGCATCGTCTTCATTGATTTCCAATATAATCTCTTTGAATAACACCGAGTACATAAATGATGATTCTAATTGGTCCAGATTTTCTTGACTCGATGTAGATGCGGTCGTTTGCTTCGGAACGAAGCTCATAGGAATGGTATCATGGTCACATTCACGGGTGACCTTCTTTAACGATTCACATATGGGCTTGATTGAGGTGAAAACACCTTCAATCTTTGCCCATTCTTTTGCCCATGCTTCATGTTTTGCTTTATTACCACAAAAGATATAAATTGCGTCCACTTGTAACAAATCATGAATCTGCGGTACGAGGTGCTGTCCTAAAGCTCCAGACGCGATAACGAACGCTTTTTCGTTATCCATATCATTCAGAAATTGAATACATTGTGCTGGAGTCGTACAGAGATTGACTTCTCTGACGACACTGCGCAATTTCTCCAGCGTGTTTGCGCAATCTTTGTCGCTTTCGTCGATGTTACCATCGACCCATATCAGTAAATAATTTTGAAGCCGACCTCGGTTTGGTCGGCTGGCAATAGACGAAGATCTTGCAGTTGCAGCGGCGCACATAACGAATTGGGATATGTTGTTTGAATTGTGTTCGCTTGAATCGTATATGAAATGTTGTTATTCAATTTAAAACGATGAATAATTGCTTGTTAGTTATACAGAGGCCGCCTTTTCTATTTATACAGTCAGTACCTGTTGTTTTTGTTTTCTAGATTTTCTGCGACATGAAATGTGGGTTTTTTTCGTTGATACTCGATGATAAATTCTCCTTAGCTTCAGTTGAAAAAAAGAGATAAGTGCAACAATTTCACTTATTTTATGGTTATTCTTTCCAACTTTCGTGTGTATCTTTTTATTATATTGACTTTCATTGTCCTTATAAAGTGAGGTTGATGATGACTGATAAGAAAAAATTAAGCACTAGTAAATAGAATAATAAAAATAAAACAGCAACAAGAAAGAGAAAACAATAGAAACTAAGAGTATCATTATCGTAAACTATCAGTCTAGGGAGACCTTATATAGTAGAAGAATAACAATGGCAAGGAAGAGAGGATAGAAAAATAACTTGTCAATTTATTTGTGTCATATTTCACAGAATGCAGATTAATAGATAAAAACGACGACAAGACACAACGAAATCCATAATAATATGTCGATCACGTTTCGTCCGAATCTCTGCCCATCATTAATAAGCCTTCAACAGATATTTGTATGTAGAGACAAAGTTAAAACAATGAGTAGTGATTTCGTGTTTTAAAGAGATAGTTCGTCGACAGGCTTACACCAAAAATGATGCTGTTCGTGCCGAATAGTGTATTAAGTACACTACCGGTTCTGAACCTTTTGAAAAATGTATAAAATTAAAAAAATTTTTTTTGAGAATCCAACCGAGCGATGCGGATGTGGCGTGAGTTTTTCCGCTGATTATGCCCACATCCACACTGATGCTCATCCTCATGCCCACACTTACCCATAAGCGCATCCATACCCACACAAAGTGAGGTATGGGTGCGTGTTTGTGTATAGAAGTAACTTTTCCTTACGCCGCACCCACCCATTCCTACACTTAGGCCACAGCACAGCACGCTTACACCCGCACTAATATCAACGCTCACACCCACACCCACACCCACACCCACACCCACACCCCCACCCCCACCCACACCCCCACCCCCACCCCCACCCACACCCACACCCACACCCACACCCACACCCACACCCACACCCACACCCACACCCACACCCACACCCACATCCACACCCACTCCCACACCCACTCCCACACCCACACCCACACCCACACCCACACCCAC